CTCTCTTGTGTTCTTCGTGTTCTTGGCGGATTTCCCCTCTCATTCGTGAAAGATCTCCATCTAGGATTCCACCCTACAACAATGTGCCATAATAAACTCATTGAGACGTGGGTTCAGCTTGTCAGCGACCTCACTGATCAGGATACAGGGGCTTGGAACGGCCCTCTCATTAGCCGGATTTTTTTGGCGCCGGATGCGGATGCAATTCTAACGATGCTAAGACTGAAGATTTCTCAGGAAGGTCAACGTATCGTGAGACAATGCTGAGAAGGGATGAGGAAATTGGAGGCTCCACAGGTACGGATTAGACCTGGAAGGCACTTTGGAAATTGAATGTTCTACCAAAGATACGTGTTTTCTGGTGGCGAGTAGTGAAGGACATGTTGCCATTCTGGGAGGAAACATTATATCACTGTTTGAATACATGTGATCATGCGCGACTGTTTTGGTGCGCGACTGTTCTGGGAGGAAGCAGAGCGATTTTTTGGTGTTAAACTTCCTAAGCTTCACCCAGGAACGTGGACCAAAGACATGCTAGATGTGAGAATAGTCAGGAAGGATACAGTAGCAATTCTGGTTACTGTAATGTGCGCAATTTGGCATTGGTGGCATTCTGCTGCTTTGGGATGAGAGTGTGGTTGATGTAAAGGATGTGTGCATTGGCACCTTCTTCCTCTCCTGCACAGTCACGATCGTTTCCTCGACCACAACCTTCAAGCTCACCATTGTCTATGGCCTGACACGAAGCAATCTCAAGGACGCCTTCTTCCAAGAGTTGATCAGCGAGAAGCCACCCCCAGGTTCAAAGTGGTTGGTTTCCGGTGATTTCAACCAAATCTACCATGCGCAAGATAAGAACAAGCCAAATGTCGATCGAAGTCGTATCGTCCGCTTCAGAAACGCGCTCAATCTCTGTGAGCTCAAAGAGAGCCATTTGCAAAACAGAAAATTCACATGGAGCAATGAGCAGACCAACCCAACTCTCAGCAAACTTGACTCTTTCTTTTGCAACGAAGATTGGGACTTGGACTTTGGCACACACATCCTCCACGCGCTCTCGTCATCCTTATCAGACCACTGCCCTCTCCTCCTCGCGAATGACAAAGGCCCGCAGAGATCAAAACCCTTCCGCTTTGAAAACTTTTGGATCAAAATGCCTGGTTTTAAAGAGGTTGTCCAAGGAGCTTGGAGCGCCAACTCGGGTCACTCTGACCCATACCTCAACCTCTTTCACAAGCTAACAGAGGTGGGCAAAAAGCTTAGGAAATGGAGTAGGACAATGTTCGCGCACTCGAAGGTGCAAATTCACATGGCCCTGGAGCTTATTCTTCGCTTGGATGTGGCTCAAGATCTTCGCCCCCTTAGTACCAGCGAGCGAGAACTTCGAAAGAGACTTAAGAGAAAAGTGATTGGCCTTGCTTTTCTTGAGCGTGCGCGGAAAAGACAAAGCTCAAGAATCACGAACTTGAAAGACGGTGACGCCAACACTCGTTTCTTCCACCTTCGCATTAACCATAGGCGAAGGAAGAACTTCATTCACCGGCTCAGGCACAACAACGGGTGGGTTACTTCTCACGACCACAAGAAGTCCATCATTCAAAACCACTTCTCAGAGGTCACGAAGCACGGTTAGCCGCGCACCACCGACATCAACTGGGACAACATCCCGGTGCCTGCTTGCGATCTCACAGATCTGGGGACTGCCTTCTCAGAGGAGGAGGTGAAAAAGGCGATTTTTGATCTCCCCAGCGACAAAGCACCGGGTCCGGATGGCTACTCTGGGGCCTTCTTCAAGGCATGTTGGGAGATCATAAAAGATGATATCTTGCTTGCTGTCAATCACTTCTCAAACCTGCGCTCCTCAAACTTAAGCTAGCTCAACTCGGCGAACATTGCTCTCATCCCGAAGAAGGATGGGGCGGAGTGTATCTCGGATTTCCGTCCCATTAGTCTCATCCACGCCGTCGCGAAGATTATTGCAAAAATGATGGCAAACCGGCTGGCCCCTCACATGCACGACCTTGTCTCAAATGCTCAAAGTGCCTTCATCAAAAAGAGAAGCATCCACGACAACTTCATGTACGTCAGAAACTTGGCAAGAAAGTTCCATCGCAGCCGCTCCCCGACGCTTTTGTTCAAGCTTGACATCAAAAAGGCTTTCGATTCTGTGCGTTGGGACTTTCTCATGGATTTGTTGAAGCACCTTGGATTCCCGAACAGATGTCGCGACTGGGTTTCGGCTTTGCTCTCTACAGCCACTTTGAGGGTGTTGATCAATGGAGTGTTGGGTGATCCGCTAAAGCATGGATGTGGTCTTCGTCAGGGAGACCCGCTCTCTCCCCTACTCTTCGTCTTGGCCATCGATCCGCTCCACCACCTCCTCTGCAAGGCCACGACCCAAGGGCACCTTCACCCTCTGTGTGGCAGATCTTCCCCCGTTCGGGCCTCGCTCTATGCCGACAATGCAGCCATATTTGTTAAGCCCATTAAGGAAGATGTCCAATTCCTTGCTGCAACTCTGACCTCCTTTGGAGCGGTAACTGGCCTTGTCACCAACTGTGCAAAAAGTTTGGTTGCCCCCATCCGATACGACAACATCAACCTTGATGAGGTTCTTCATGCTTTCCCGGCGGTGCGCACCTCGTTCCCAATGTGTTACCTTGGACTCCCGCTTGCTGTTAAACGCCTCGAACGAATCCACTTCCAGTACCTTGAGGATAAAATTGCAGGCAAGCTCCCTCCATGGCAAGGAAGGCTTGTGGCCTCTGCAGGCCGTATTGTTCTTGTTAAGGCTGTCCTAACCGCCATTGCCATCTATCACCTCACGCCCCTCGACATCCCGGTGGAGGTCCTCAAGAAAATTGATAGTATTCGCCGTGCATACCTTTGGGCGGGCTCGGACAAGGTCTCTGGAGGAAAATGTAAGGTTAACTGGGAGCTTGTCTGCAAACCTAAGGAAAAGGGTGGGCTTGGAGTGCTTAATCTGGACAAGTTTGCTAAGGCTCTACGGCTCCGATGGCTTTGGTTCGAATGGAGTGATAGGAGCAAGCCCTGGATTGGCATGGGGACTCCGTGTACTGATGAGGATCGCCACTTCTTTGCGGCTGCCACTTCGGTCACTGTTGGGAACGGACGAACTGCGCAAAACTCGTCGTGGCTCAATGGCTTGCGCCCCGTGACATTGCACCGGACCTCTTCCATCTTTCTCGCAAGAAAAACTCCTCAGTCCGGCAAGCCATGGCCAACAATCTTTGTATCGCAAATATTGACGTCACCAACGGTCTGTCCCTCGCGCAGATTGAGCAATTTGCTGACCTTTGGGAGAAGGTTTCAACGGTGGCCCTCGAGGATGAAGTGGAAGACTCGATTATATGGAAGTTTTCTAAGGACGGAACGTACTCAGCTTCCTCGGCTTACAAGGCGCAATTCGAAGGCCTCACCTCCTCTGATCTTGTCCAGTCAGTGTGGAGTGTGTGGGCTCCGCCGAGGTGCAAATTCTTTGCTTGGCTGGTTCTTCAAAATAGGGTCTGGACATCAGACCGCTTGATCCGTCGTGGGTGGCCCAACTGCGGCTTGTGTCCTCTCTGCAAGCAAGTGCAGGAGTCCGCGGCCCACCTTCTCTTCCAATGTCGCTTCTCTTTGCGAATCTGGAACAACATTCTCCCGTGGCTCGGAATGCACCACATCTCTACTTCTTCTTGGTCGACGAGCGCTTCGGTCAAAGGATGGTGGAACGATGACCTTCAGATTCGTCTCGGCTCGCCCAAAGCCCTTGCCTCATTGATGATGCTCATCTCATGGGAGATTTGGTCCGAGCGCAACGCGAGAGTCTTTCGCAACGTTGCAGTCCCTCCGGTGGTAATCATTAACAAGATCAAGCAAGAGGTGTCGCTTTGGGCTTTGGCAGGTGCCAAGCACTTGGGTATTGTAATGCCGCGAGAGTAATCTTTTACCTTGTGCCGCTTGCGGCTTTGTCTGAAACCTTCTTCTTAATCAATGAAATGGCAAATCTTTTGCCTCCTTTCAAAAAAAAATGGTGAGAACAAGCTTCAACCCAGGCAATCGATGATCCTCATTGCTGAAATTGTTCGAACTTTAGAGATCCCGGAGACTGTTCGGGAGAGGATGCAACCTACAGTTAGATGGGCAGCCCCGACGCCAGGGTGGATCAAGATCAATGTCGACGGAGCAATGTACGGGTGTAGGCGGCACTGGTATGGTGGCTCGAGACCATGCGGGTCTCTTTCTTTCAGCAAGGTGTGTGAAGTATGATGGTATTACTGATCCGCTGAGCTTGGAAATTCTGGCGTGTCGTGATGGTATGTTACTAGCAATAGAAAAGGGATACAATTCAGTTATCATTGAGACAGATTGTCTCAATGCAAAGAGCATGTGGGAGGCAAGGTTGGAAGGACGTTCCATAGGTTTTCATATTCTGCAGGAAATGCAAACTGAACTACCTTGTTTTCAGGGATTTGAGCTTCGGTATGTTAGCCGGAATGCAAATAATGTAGCACATGGGTGCGCTAAAGAAGCTCTAGGCATAGGAGATGTTTTAACATACTCCCTCCGTTCCCAAATACTTGTTTTTCTAGGCATTTTAAATGAACTCAACATACGGATGTATGTAGACATATTTTAAAGTGTAGATTCACTCATTTTGCGCCGTATGTAGTCACTTGTTGAAATCTCTAGAAAGACAAGTATTTAGGAACAGAGGGAGTACTATTTTGTAATCCCTGGCTTTCTGAGTGGTCTTCTACACCGCTGATTGAATAAATTCCGGAGTGCAGAGCTTCAAAAAAAAAGACTAACCTTACAACAGTAGGTGTAAACTGTTCAACATGATAGCCAATGGTACACTTGATGATCCAACTCTTCTTTTTGTTTCACTCAGGTTTACAGATGAGCAACAAAAGCTGTGACGGAACTCTGGGTCAATGCGAAAACGGAATAAGATTATAAGAATGTTCGCCATGAACCGAGATGAAAAGTCCAGTCTAGCCTTGGAAAGTATCGTCAGCAACTGGCTGGCTATCAACAGGAATATCCAAGCTGTTTTCTTCAGCTTCTGTGGTCACCTCCCTTACATCAGATACTTCAGAGGAATGAGGATTTTCCCACTCCGTATCCCCGATCGTACGTATATCGACTCCCTCGTCATCCAACTCGACTATGTTCTCCGCAATGGGTATCAGGTCTGTATCGCTTAAACAAGCCTTATCCACGTTATCTTCGTCCATGTCCATGTGCTTTGAAGTAGAGCATAGCTCTGACCTTTCCTCACAGATTTGTTTTGTGCTAGTCTCTTGCCTGCAAACAACAGATATCCAAATTATCCATCAAATTTCTTTTAGAATAATCTCATTTTACACGGAAGCAAGAGAGATTAAAATAGCATATGATGTACTCGGAACCTTTGTATTTGTGATTTTAGAGCATCCAGGAGAGCTAAGAGTTCTTCTTTTTCTTTCGCAGCAGACTCGAGCTTACTCACAGCTTCCTTTATTCGCATGTCAGCATCGGCTGCTGAAACCCTAGCTTTCTCTTCAGCTCTCACGACAGCTGCTTCTAAAATGACAGCATTTCCTCTAGCTTTTCCAAGTTCAGAGCGCCACATCTGAGCTTCTTGAAGAGCAGAATCTCTTTCCTTGAGTAAATGCTCTCTTTCTTCAGCAAGAAGCTTTGACTTCTCTTCTGATTCCCTTAGCTGTTAACATAAAAGCCAGTTCAAACTAAAAATAAAAATGTGTCAGTTCATATACTTAACATGAACTGTGCTCATCAGGTGCATAAAACATAAATCATAGGAACAAAATCTGGTCTATAGGGGGGTAAAAGTATGAAACAAATATGTACTATAAGATGAATAATGTATAGAGATCCACGAAGTGGTTGTTACCCTAAGCAAGGACAATTCAACTTGATTTTCCTGATCTTGTTTCAGGCGTTCAAGTTCTGAAGATAAAAATCTTCTTGCTTCATCAATTGCATGAGCAGCAGAAGCAGCAGATTCAGCTGCCTCAGCAGTCTCCTGTAATTTATCTGTAATCTCCCTGATGGTGGAATCCCGTGCACGGATATCCTGCAATAGCTGGTGCAGTTCATCATCTTTAACTCGAAGGGTCTCCTGTCGTAGCAATGTGTAGCACATCACAAATAAGGAAAGGAAAAAACTTTAGTATCCAAAAGAAAAATATACATTCTAGACGATCAAGAACTAGTACCATACAAGACAGCACAAAAAGTACTAAATTCATCCATCGTATGAGAAGCAAATGCTCTGGCATGGCCTTCCAGGTATATTGCCAACTTTCGCATCACATGATTGCTAGTTACATCCCCAATAGTTGTTCAGTGAAACACGCTGAAGCATGTTCGCCTGTCTTACCAACACTATAAATGGCTTTCAAGTTTCAAAGTGAAGATTCAATTGATCAGAAATTTGGTTTGTTATCAGAAACTCGGCCTCGTAGTAGTCAACTGGTCTGATAAATTATGGAATTAATCAATCACTTATTTTAGGAGGAAGCATAGTCTAACAAGTGAATAGCAGATCAACTGACTACATCAGGAATATTTTCGTATTTTGTTTAAAGGAGACAACTGGGTGTCAGATCAATTATCTACAAAAGAGGTCCTGTATTCATCAATAAGTTTCTTATGCAACAAAATGACTAAACTTTAATTTAGGTAATCCTTCATTGGTAGTTTGAAGAACAGCATACCATCATGATTGTGAGATCATCTAATTGACCTTTACTAAGTTTATTTGTAGTTGAGCCTAAAGCTGCCCGCAGGGAGATCTTCATCGCTGCTTCTACCTCTTTGGATGCTTCAATCGCAGTTGCATTGGCCACAGCCACAACAGTAGCAACTGTTCCCAATTTTGCAGAACCATTTCCACCCAATGAATCCACCGCCTGTTTATGAGCCTGTAGGACCAACTGAGTTGCACTGTAGGTAGATAAGAACTTTTATCAGATTTCAAGGGTCATACTAAAGCCCCACAGACAGTGAGTAAAATAACTGAAATAAACAAATGGGTAAAAGAATAGCAGAAAGCACCAAATGCAAGCCTTTAGCCAGATTATAGCCTGTTAGCTTGCTTACATAGTTATGCAGCAGATATTTCACGAGTTAGCATATTTACATAATTATGCAGTCGATATTACACGAGTTTGTTCCTAACGTTGGACAAGTGGGCACATATTGCCACTAGCAATTATTGTTTTGAAACAAACGGTACATCTCAGTTCTTCGGGAGCAAAGGGTCAAAGAATTTAAAGAGGGTGCCTCCCAACAAGGCAAAAGTAAATCGGCCAACCATTTGATGAAACAACTACATATTGGTGCTTTCCTTAAGCACAATTTCTACATTAGTAAGCAAATAACAAACAGAACTAATGCAAACATGAGATGTTTCAGGAGAAGACCAAATTTATACAGAACAATATGTAAATAAGGGTACATGTCATGCAATATATCTTAAATTCTTCACAGTCCAAGTGGCTCGAAATTTGTAGAGAAATTCTAAGAGTACGAATATGAGAGGGTTGTGTTAATTGATGGCGATAATAGTGCATGGAGCCACATGGCCCATGTATAAATGCCAATATACATTTTAGGGTTCTTCTAGAGTTACAACCGCATATTCTAGACTGGGAAGGTGTTATGTCAGTGATAAATTAAATGCAGTAAACCACAGAAGCAAAGGTGTTTACTAATATGGGTTTATGTAAAAAGGGAGCATGGGTTCTCTCAACGATGTTAACTACAAGAACATATCAATCGTCACTTTGTTTTGAAATAGTTCATAAAAAAGAATATGATGGTACTTCCAACATCCATTTAATCTATATAAAAATATCTGTTAGTAATCCCATGAATAGTGGTCAAATCAAGTGCAATGACAGGCCACAGAACACAAGCTTACTGTAAAGTAGATACCCATGCTCTTGCAGCGCTGGGAGTTTCTGCACAAAGAAAGTACTCCTTTTTCTGTGGAGTCCCAATATCTATAACACTAGTCAATTAACAAAACAATTGATCAAGCCCATATATGATAATAAAGCGAACAAAATAACCTAGAGCTACTCCATAAGGATACATACACAACATCCTTCATATTTTGGCAGTCCACTGCATCAAGTAAAACATGAGGCCATTCAGTGCTTTTACTACCACAAGTCTGAAAATAATAATGAAATAGCAATGAAGCAGAGATCATACTGAAAGTTGGTAGGTGACAAAGTGACGGTGCTTGTTGAATCGAACACAATTATTCCCCTCACAGTTGTATCACTTCTACGAACCCTAAATCATTAGTTAAATTATGAGATCTAGCATTCTCTTTTTCAAATCTTCATCTGTTTTTAAAAGAAAAGGAGTGTGTAACTTCCAGTCCATACTTGTATTCCATCTTTCCAGTAGCTGGATCAAGTATAACCCACCGCTCATTCCATTTCCTTAGCTGTCAATTGAAGTAAAATTTATCACAAACGAATAAAATGGATGTGCTGGAATATAATAGCAATTTGTTGTGTATCATTATTGTTACTATAACTGCAAAACCAGAATATAATATGGAGACGACTAAGTAACTCAAAGTCTTAAATTCAAGAAACTGTGCTAACAAAACATAAAGGGAACGGACATTAACTTTGCATCAACCAGCAGGGTTGCACAGTAGATAGCCCTACTGGTAGAAACTAGGGTTCTACCCGGTCTAGGGCGTAGCCTGTAAGGGAAGGAGGCAGGAGGTCGGAGCAGATTGCGCGGCGGCCGGCGGCTGGGCGCCGTCCTTGCGGCTAGTGCGACGGCGGCGGACGCAAGAGGCGGCTAGGGTTTAGGTCTCCCGGCTCCCTAAGGGAAGCCGAGCAAATACTGATTGCTTCTTGCTTGATTAGATTGATACATCTCCTCTCCTTATATAGAGAGGTTTACTTGACTCCTAAGCAAACGATCCTAATACGATAAGATAATTGGGCTAAGCCCTTAATAATGATTTAAGATACTTGGGCCATAACCCACTGGGCTAAGCCCTAATATGCTGGTCATAACACTTCTCCCCGCCTGCACAAACAGCTCGTCCTCGAGCTGTAAGGTGGGGAAGCGCTTGCTAAACTCCTCGAGGTGATCAACCAGCGTCAAACACCTTCGCGACAGCTGGGGCGGCAAGGTCGGCGGCGACGGCGTCCTCCGGAATGTAGTCTGCAACCTCCAGGTAGAAGAGTCGCGGGCGGGCGTGGCCGGGCGTATAGGGCTCGTCGCAGTTGAAGCACAACCCTTGGCGTCGACGCTCGAGTAGCTCGACCGAGGTGAGCCGGCGGAACGGGCGCGCCGCGGTCGCGGAGAGGGGTGCCGCGGAAGACTGAGCAGGCCGACCTTGAGCGGGATCTGGCCAGGGTAGCGACCCAGTGGCCCGGGACGGTGACTCCTGCTGGACGGCCACCGCGCAGCGCTCGAACGCGCGGGCGTAGTACATGGCCGTCTGGAGATCCTGGGGTCCCCGAAGCTCCACGTCCACGCGGATGTGATCCGGAAGTCCACCGACAAAGAGGTCGGCCCGCTGCTGCGCCGTCACACCCGACGCGTGGCATGCCAGGGCCTGGAAACGGTCGGCGAAGTCCTGAACCATGGAGGTGAAGGGAAGGCAGCCTAGCTCCGCCAGGCGGCTCCCACGGATCGGGGGCCCAAAACGAAGGAGGCAGAGCTCGCGGAAGCGCTCCCAAGGGGGCATGCTGCCCTCGTCCTGCTCGAGGGCGTAGTACCAGGTCTATGCCGCGCCACGGAGGTGGTAAGGGGCGAGCTAGGTGCGCTCCGAGGCGAGGGTGCGCTGCCCGCGAAAGAACTGGTTGCACTGGTTGAGCCAGTTGAGGGGGTCCTCCATGCCGTCATAGGTAGCGAAGTCGATCTTGGCAAACCGCGGCGGTGTCTGGGTCAGAGCGCCGTGTCGAGCTGGCTCGAAGGTGCGGAGCAGCGAGGCGGGTGGCGCCTGGTCAGAGTACTCCGGGTAGGGACTCGCGGAGCCGGATGGCCCGCCGGACTGCGGAAACGGGGTCGGCTGCTCCGGAGCCGTGGTGTAGACCGGCGATGGCGAAGACCCAGCCGCCCAAGCTGGTAGTGGCGACAGGGAGGGCGGGAACCTGACCTGGTGTATCGGTAGGCCGGCCGGTGACGGCAGTCCGGAGCTGGGCAAAGGTGGCGCCTGGAGTTGCAGCGGCTGCTCTGGAGAGTGGGCGGACGCGGAGGTAGCCGCGGTGGCAGTAGGGGGCCACTGCGGCCAGAGGGGAGCTGCGGCTGGGGCCGGCTACAGGTGCAGCAGCGGCGGTGGCAGCCCGTTGTGGTGCCCCGCCTGGAACGGCAGCAGCGGTGTCCCGCCAATTGCAGGCGCACCCTGGGACGGCCACGGCAGCCAGAGCTGGGCGCCGTCCTTGCGGCTGGTGCGACGGCGGCGGACGCAAGAGGCGGCTAGGGTTTAGGTCTCCCGGCTCCCTAAGGGAAGCCGAGCAAATACTGATTGCTTCTTGCTTGATTAGATTGATACATCTCTCCTTATATAGAGAGGTTTACTTGACTCCTAAGCAAACGATCCTAATACGATAAGATAATTGGGCTAAGCCCCTAATAATGACTAAGATACTTGGGCCATAACCCACTGGGCTAAGCCCCTGATATGCTGGTCATAACACCTACATCCAGATGTGCAACTTAGTGGTACCTGAATTAAATACCAGAAGTGTGTGTATGCTCCTTCCCTTGAATGAGAATTTGCACAAGTTCACCTGTTGCTACTTAGGGCATCTCCAACGCAGGCCCCTAAAACACGCATCCGTCCATGGACCGGTCCGGATATGGGTCCGGACATTGATACGGGAGCCAGCCATCCAAAGATAGCCGCAAACGTCCGGTCACATTTGATGCAAATTTAAACAAACTGGACAACTTTCATTCAAACTTAAATAATTTTAGATAAAGCCAGATGATTTTCATCTAAGCCGGAGCACATTCATTACATTTTCAACATCATCATCATCTTACGAAACCTTTTATCCCAAACAAGTTGGGGTAGGCTAGATATGAAACCCTTTCACGAGGACTTCCCAGGAGGTCACCCATCCTAGTACTACTCTCGCCCAAATGGGTTTCATACCCAAAAGACTGGCTAGTTTTTACGTTGGCTCGGCAAGCCTATCACAACCCTTAGATATGAAACCCTTTCACGAGGACTTCCTAGGAGGTCACCCATCCTAGTACTATTCTCGCTCAAATGGGTTTCATACCTATGGGACTGGCTAGTTTTTACGTTGGCTCGCCAAGCCTATCACAACCCTCCTCCTTTACCCGGGCTTGGGACCGGCTATGCCTAGAAGACATAGGCGGAGTTATTACATTTTCAACATATTTCAACTAAATCCTATTCTAACCTAGTCTTAGTAGTCTAAATGATCGTCGGCGCCCATTTCCCACGACATGCCTTCCCCATGTCCGGCAGCAAGCTCACCAGACGGTCGTGAGCCCCGAGAAATGAAGCTTCAACGGGAAAGGAGGAATAGCCTCCACAAAGCGGGCAAGTTCACCGGTCGGTAATGAGCTCACCAAGTTTAGCTTTAGCTTCAGCGAGGGGAAGAATAGTGGCCTCCTCCTCCTCCACAAAGCGAGCAAGCTCACTGGCTGTGTGGCCTGGCAAGGTGATGGTGGTGGCCTTCCTGGGACCCAAGCGCCGCCGGCCTCCCATGTTCTACTCTTCCTCGCTATTGGTGGCGGCCGTGGACGTGTCGGCCTCGTCGTCCTCGGTGTCGTCGTCAAATTCCTCCACCGCCGCGTCGATCTCCACGGACATAGCTTCTTTCTCCGGTCGCAAGACACGGAGCAGCCATCGCTCGTGGCGGATGTCACGGGCGGCGCGTTAGGACGGGAGCAACGCCTTCTACTCGTCCATGTCCGCCACAATGCCCGTTCCAGCGATTTTCTCCTCCGCGAGTCGGTGCTAATGAGGAGCCGGAGGTTGTACCGCTAGTCGGCCTACGTCTGCCAGAATGCCTCCTCCCGCTCTTCCATTACCATGTCAGTGCAGTGCACACGCGCCTCGCCCATGGTGATGCCAGCCTGAACCGCCGAGGGCGGTGGCGCAGGCTAGTCGTCCATTGGCTCGTCCACGTCGCTGCCCTCCGGAGAGTTCGCCGGCAAGCCAGCCTGTATCCGGCTGGCTCGGCGGGCCTGCTAGCTGGCCTCAATACCAGAGAGTTCCTTCTTCTGTTCACCAGAGAGGCTGTCCCACAGGGCTTTGGAGCTCAAGGCCATGGCGGGTGTGGTGCACCAAGGAGCAGATCAGGAGAGGACAGGTGTGATGTCGTTGTTACCGGGCACCTGGCCACGTTTAAATAGCGGGGGGATGCCACGTGCCAAGCGGCGGGGTGTTTAATGCCAGCCGACAGGCAGACGAACGTGTGGCACTCGCATGCAGGCGCCGGAGTAGGTTCCTCGACAAACGCACTGGTTTAATGGAGGGAAACGGACAGACGGATGCCGTTTATATGCGGAGAGAAGGCACGTGCAGCGGCCGGCGCGCCGCTTCAATGCCGGCTCCAGGCCGCGTCCGCTCTGGGCCGGCATGAGGGCGAGGGAGTTACAGCCGCAAACAACCCCCCCTCCCCCGCCCCGGTTTGCTTCCAGTATGCGGGGAAAAGGATGTCCGGACTGCTGGTGGATGGACTACCGCGTTGGATAGCAAAACACATCCGGACCACCTGGTCCAGACGGATGCATGCGGTTTGAAGGTCCACGTTGGAGATGCCCTCACTACAGCTATAAGAAGGCTGTTTTCATGCTTGAGAGACGAAAATTTCTAGTTCACAGCATAATATCGACGAACTACAAGCACACAAAGTAGAACAAACACCCTTGGCAGCTTGTCATCAACACTCAACACCACACGGCATCATCATGTTGATCGATTTGAAAGTTTGAATGGCTGGACTTGTCAGGTATGGATTTAGTAGACCAGAACCAGAACCAGAACCATCCAAGTAAGAAAGTGTGAAATGAAAGGGGGGATAGAAATTACTGTATCGGATCGCTTCAAGAGAGGGCCCTGGAGGATATGGCGGGTGGAGGTGGAGGAGAGCTGCCGCCTGACCCGCTCCAAGCTGCTCTCCATCTCCCCTACCATCTGTACCCATCATCACAAGGGCAAAATCCCAGACAGCTTGAGTGAGATTCCTTGCGGTGTGAGGAGATGGAGTCGAGACGCGAGAAATCTCGTCGAGCTCGATCCAAATCGATGCAATCCCGGGACGAGGAAGAACTCACCGTGCTGCGCCCGCCGTTGGCGTTGGAGTCCATGGCCGGAATGGATGGATCAGGGGGGTGGAAGAGGATCGAACGAACGATGCCGGGAAAAAATGATGATCTGTAAACTCTACCAGTAACTCTGAAAACCGACACGAAGTTTTTCTTGACTCTCTCAGATGGACTGGCAAAGATCTGCTGCCTTCGTACTTGTATTACGTGTTCTATTATTTACGTGTACGACTGCAGAAAACGTACAATATAACTCAACCTCCACTATGGCTAGGTTCGATGCGAATCAGGTTCCAAGGAAAAAAATAGCGCACTATACAAAATAGCATCGTACCTGAAAATATGCTATTAACGTGCTAGCGTGCTATTAGTGAAACATTATATATCGATTAATTTAGCGAGATAATTTTTTACACGCTATAGTGTGCTATTAGCAGCGCTATAGCGTGCTATTTTTTTCAGTGCCTATAACACACTAATAGTCTATATTAAGCCATAATATTTTGTCGTAGCACGTTTTTTTTATTGCTCCTACCTCGACTTGATTTCCACGATATCGTCCGCTACAAATATGCGTACATGCCCCGCAGACGACATACACCACCCTCACCCCCACCCCCGTGTCGCCTCTTCTAGGCGACACGGGAGACAACCCCGTCGGCGGCGCCACCCCCTCCCCCCCCCTTCTCCCCGGTCGCCCCATCCTTCTCGTCTCGTTGCCGTCGGAGGAACCTGTTGGCGAAAACCGAGCAGGCTCCAGGGAGGGTGGTGGCACGGCATCTTCCTGGGAGGCACGAGGCACATATCTGATGTGGCGGCGTGACTGTGGCGGATTCATCCATGGCGTCGTGGTGGCTGCCTTGGGTCGGCGATGCCTGGGAGTGGCGACGCAGTGATGCGTGTGGTGGTGTGGCGTCGTTGGCATGGGGTTGTGTGCATGGGCATGGGCCCGATCTGGGTCCTCTCTGGACCTGAGGTGGGCGGGTAGGGCTGGCAACTAGCGGCACCTTTGGTACGCTGGCAGTGGTGCCTACTTGCGTTGGTGAGGGTGGTGCAAGGAGCTGCTGCTCTCGCTGGGAGTTGCAGCGTGGTGGCTGTTGCCGGTGGTGTGCGTCATGTCGCCCGATCCGATCTTGGTGTGGATGGTGCGAAGCTGTGTGGGGGCTGCGGCGGCGGTAGCATTCAGCGCTTGGGGCGCGAGCGGGAAGCCAGGGTGGCGGCCACGGGCTATGGGCCATGGCGTATTGGTCATGGTGGTGGCCGGGAGTGGCTCATCCGACGGATCCCATCTGGTTGAAAGTCCCGACGCGATTGAGTTTGGTGGTCAACAACGAAGGACGCGGGGCGCATCGAGAAGGGCTCGGATGATCTCCATGCTCACGGGTGTTCCTGATCTACAGGATTTTTTAGATATGGGAGAGTTCCAGGCGAAAGCCTTAACTCGACTCTGTCGGTGCGTCGACGATGGCGCTTATGGGTGTCGCTTTCCTCCTTGGAGGCATCGTCGTGGAACTCCTCTTCCTCTACGAGGGGCTTGGGCTCTCCAGGTGAAAACCTAAGCTCCAAATTTTCTGGAGCGGGCGACAGTGGCTTCTTCGTTGTTTCCCTCTTGGGGGCGTTTCTTGGGAGAGGTAACTTGTGCTTCATGCGGCCCCGGACGGCTGATGTGCGTCGAGGAGGCGGACTCAAAAAGGGATGTGCGCGGTGGCTCCATGGTGCGGGGTGGCGGCTCCGCCTTCGGTTGGGTGGCAATCTTTGGCCACTTGGGTGGCAGGTTTGTCGGCTTGGTCGACACATCCCAACGGGGGCGGTTGGACGATACGTCGGGAGGCAACCCCAGACGTGGTGCGGTGTTCGTGGTCTGCGTGTGGTTGACAGAGTAGCGTGGGTTGCAAACATCCGGGGCGTGTGGCGTTGCATCTCGAGAGCGAGTGGTGGCATGTCGGGGTGGTCTCCCAGGATGTGGTGTGCTACTTGTGAGCTGCGTTGGGATTTCCTCGAAGAGGACAGGATGATGCAGTACAGTAGAGATAAGTATTTCTCTTAGTTAAGAACCAAGGTTGTCAATCCAGTAGAAAAACCACGCAACACCTCGTTAGCACTACCTACACACAAAATAACAAATCCTTGCACCCAACGCGAACAAGGAGTTAACAATCCCTCGACGGTTACTTGCAAGATTAAATTGTATGGTGGTAGATAGATAATTCAAACACAAAATAAAATAAAGAAAGAAAAATTACAGCAAGGTATATTTGATTTTAATATAGGATAAAAAGTAAACCGGGGGGGCATAGTTTTCACTGCAGGCTTCTCTCTTGAAAATAGCATACGGTGGGTAAACAAATTACGATTGGGCAATTGATAGAAAAACAAATAATCATGATGATATCCAAGGCAATGATCATGTATATAGGCATCGCATCCGAGACAAGTAGACCGAAACGATTCTACATCTACTACTATCACTCCACACATCGACCACTATCTACTATGCATCTAGAGTATTACGTTCATAAAGAACGGAGTAACGTCTTAAGCAAGATGACATGATGTAGACAAAGTAAACCCAGGCATGAATAAACACCATATTTTTATCCTTAATGGCAATGATACAAATATGTGGCATGTCCCCTTCTGTCACTGGGATTGAGCACCGCAAGATGGAACCCATCACAAAGCACCTTCCCATTGCAAGAAAAATTAATCTAGTTGGCCAAACCAAATCAATAGATCGGAGAGAAGTAATGTAGGAACGAAGTATGTCTACTAGAGAGGGGGTGAATGAGAGTTTTAAGATTCTTCGGAAATATCAAAACTCTCGTAACCCAGCAGCGAAGTGAATGTAAACAGATTACAGTAAGTGAATGTAAACTAATGAATGGAAACTAAAAGCAGGAATCAAAACAGGAATGTAAACTAATGATTGAACCAGTTCGAATGTAAAAGAGGAGAAGCAGAGGTAACCAGTGATGCTCGATGGCGACAAGGTATTTGGTAGACCAGTTCGCCCTTCTGCACAATGACTATATCTGGTTGGAGGGGTTGTGACTTAACACGGAAGATAAACTCTCTTCGCCATATTCTCCTTGACAATTGGTTCGTCAACCAATGTCGATCACTCGTGGTAGATACTGTTGGGAAACATAGCATGCAATTTAAAAAAATCCTACGCCTCACGCAAGATCTATCTAGGAGATGCATATCAACGAGAGGGGAAGAGTGTGTCCGCGTACCCTCGTAGACCGAAAGCGGAAGCGTTTGACAACGCGGTTGATGTAGTCGAACTTCTTCTAGCTCGGACTGATCAAGCACCGAACGTACGACACCTCCGAGTTCTGCACATGTTCAGCGTGATGACGTCCCTCGCCTTCTTGATCCAGCACGGTGTCGAGGAAGTAGATGAGTTCCGTCAGCAGGATGGCATGGTGATGGTGATGGTGAAGTGATTCTCACACGGCTTCGCCTAAGCACCACAAAACTATGACCGGGTGTGTAAACTATGGAGGGGGGGCGCCGCACACAGCTAACGATTGTTGTTATGTGTTCTAGGCGCCCCCTCCCCGCGTATATATAGGTCGGAGGGGAGGGGAGGCAACCATGGGGTGCCCCAAGTAGTAGGAATCCTACCTGGGATCTTCCCCATTTCGGCCTCCCCCTTTCCTTATTTCCGGAGGGCGGGAAAGGGAAGAGGAAAGAGAGAAGGAAAGGGGGGCCGAATGTAACACCCCGGATGTAATTTACCTAATATGCACTCCAACTCTTGCCGTTTCTGGCGCTAAGTTATTTTATTTTCTCGGGTTCAGGTTTTTGTCTCCGTGTGTTGTTGTCATTGTCATGCATCTCATATCATGTCATCATGTGCATTGCATTTGCATACGTGTTCGTCTCATGCATCCGAGCATTTTCCCCGTTGTCCGTTTTGCATTCCGGCGCTCCGTTCTCCTCTGGTGGTCATTTCTACCTTTCTTTCGTGTGTGGGGGTTAAACATTTCCGGATTGGACCGAGACTTTCCATGCAGCCTTGGTTTACTACCGGTAGACCGCCTGTCAAGTTTCGTACCATTTGGACTTCGTTTGATGCTCCAACGATTAACCGAGGGACCGAGAAGGCCTCATGTGTGTTGCAGCCCAACACCCTTCTAATTTGGCCCAAAACCCACCAAAACCCTCTCCATCATCTAGAGCGTTCGATCACGATCGTGTGGCCGAAAACCGCACCTCATTTGGACTCTCCTAGCTCCCTCTATGCCTATTTAAAGGTCCCCCTCCGAAATTTCACGGTTCTTCTCCCCCCTAAACCCTAGATCCATTTTTCCCCGTCGCCGCCGGACGAAATCTCGCAGGCCGGACATTGTCCGACCCGCGCCGCCGCCACCACGTGTCGACGTCCGAGTGGTCGGCCGCCTCCTCCACTGCGCGGCCCGGGGAGCCCGTCGCCGGCCCCCGAGGCCCGGGTCCGCAGCCACCTGCCCAAGGAACGCCGCCCTCACCACGCCGCCCCGCTGCCCATCTCCGGTGATCGGAGCTCCCTCGCCGCTCCGTCGCGCGGCCGCGCTCCGCCACCATGCCACCGCGCCTGCCGCCGCATGCTGCACCGCGCCGGCCGCCGCCGACCCCGCCGCACCACGGCAACGCGCCGCCCGGAGCTCACCGGCCCCAGCTCCGGCCTCCTCCCCAACTCCGGCGATGTCTCCGGCAAGCTTCAGCAACTCCGGCGCCGACCTCCCCAACGAACATCGATTTCCGCGCGTGAACAGTGCCGGCCCGATCCGATCCAGATCCGGATCCAAACCCTAGGATTGACTTTTGCCCCGTTTCCAGTATTTTGTTTGCATATTTCATCATGCTATATCTCCTCATCCGTAGATCCGTTTTGGGTCTGTAGCATATCAAAATGTTCGTCTCAGGGAGCACATCATTTCATCTCATTGCATCATTTTCATTTGAGTTCATCTTGATGCCCGAAATGCTGTTGGAAGAATGCTATTTGAGTTAATTGTCAGATCTGCTGCACCAAATAGATATTTATCATTTTTGCC